ACAAAATTATGGATAAAAAAACTGTCTAAAGAAAAAAAAATGCAGGTAGGTTTTAAAAAAAATAATCGGAACTTAGAGAAATTGTTCAATATGCTGATATACATGTGTTCAATATACATGGTTGAATATTGTTAATAGGCATATTCTCCAATTCATCATATCAGGAAAAAGAAATTAGAATACTAAATACTTAATCATAAAGGTGAATTTACATTAGTTTTTTAATTCGATCTCATAGCTCGAAAATCCATTGCTGAGATTTTACAGAGTATTTCTAAAAATTGCTTTTTTTTTTTTTTTACATCACTTGATGAAGTTATGATATCATATAAATCGGTTGCAATCTTACAGGAAATTTATCGTAGATTCTGAAAGTTCTGATAAAACATAGGAAAATGAGGTGTTTACAGGAAAAACTTGGTTTTAATGGAAAAAACTTTAAAATTTCTCGACGTTTTAAGAAGGAAATGGTCGATATCGTTGGACCCTTTTAGTAATTTTTCCGAAAATATCCATGCCTTAATTCCCCATGTTTGTCTTTGTGGCACCCTGTGTATGTTTGTGTGGGTGTAATATTCAGAAACACGTTGTGGTATAGAACGCTTAAAGAACGTTTAATGTGCACCACATCACGGAATCGCAGTTATTGAAATGAAGTGTAATGTTACTGATTTGGACGATGAACGAACCAGTACAATCGGCTCCTAACCAAAGGATGAATATGGGTTTTCTACTTCTTTGGAGTCGGATTTAAACATCCTGGACCTCAATATTATTATTGTTTTATTCCAGCGAGCCACAGTTTACAAACGTTTAAAGCGAGAAGGCTACATAGGGTTCTATTATTTGTTGTGGAAAGTCTATTTTGGGTCGGAGAGATTTATTGATGGTTAGGGGTTCATTGAACATAGGTTTCATCCGGAGCTCTAATCGCTCATCTAGAAACTGTTTCTAAATATTTTATAAGTTCGTTTCCTCTCTGAGCTAAACGTTTTATATTTCATTATCATATATTATAATCCTATAAGTAAACAAAGTATCTTATAAGTAACAAAGTAAAAACATATACCTAATTCAATACCATCAAACTGTTTTCAGTATAAGTGCAAAATGTTTTTAGTCCGCGCTTTTATAAAATTATTAACATCCGCCTAAAACTTCGTGAATTATTTTACGTCACCTACAACTTTTTATTATCTACGAAAATTCTCAGAACTGGGGCGTTTTCTCGTTAAATTAATTAATTTAATGAAATCCTAAAATCTCATGAATACCTATTTGTTTTCTACTTGAATCGTGAGATAATTTAATCACAAAATCGTGAAAAAATGTGGTCTACAAAAATATTGGGCCGTTTGGCATTTATAACCTCGTTATTTTGACCTGTTGTGAAAGAAGGTCTCGCCATGGAACCCTATAAGTAAACAAAGAATCTTACATTATAACGTAAAAACATATACCTAGCTCCGTAACATTGAAATATTTTCAGAAAAAGCACAAAATGTTTGTTGTCCGCTGTATAGACCCATTTTTATAAAAAATATTAACATTCGCCTTAAACTTCATGAATGTCTTTATCTTACTGTTGCCGAGCGCATTTTCTCGTTAAAATTATTAATTTAACGGGGTTCTGAAATCTCATGGATACCCATTTGATTTCTCTTGAATCGTAACATAATTTGATCGTGTCCCCTCACACGACTTTCCTGTCTTTTTCAGAATGGTTTTTATATCTTTAAATTACAATCCAAAATCGTAAAACCCTCAATGCACCCTACTTTGTCACAAATAAAATCATCCATAACGAACTTAATGTACCATATGTTTCCGATTTAGCTCAATCCAGATACCTATCCTTCCATAATCCTTCCAACCTTGCTTCTTCATCTATTCCTGATAACCCTCCGAGGCGTCTGAAAAGAAGATGGCCTCGGGACCTTCTAATATAGAAATATAATTGGAGTTCTACCAATGGGTAGTTTCTCTTCATGTTGTACATGCCATGTTACTTGTTTCATATTTACTTGTTGTATTTATCATTTAATACCGTTGTAAATTTCGACAATAAAAATATTTAAAAAAACTCTTTGAATTAACCTGATGCCGGATCGGAATCGATCGGGCTTTGGCTCAACTTGACCCTATCATCTATTTACATATATCTATACATAAAGAAATATGTTTAAAATGTTTTTTTTCTGTACTTAAAAACGAATATACAAACATTAATTAATTGAAACTCTTATTTTAAGCTATTTATTTTGCAAGAGTTATGTGTGATAAAACACCATTCTTTTAATAAAGGAATTTATTATTAAATAATTACAATGTTTGAAAAAAAATTGTAAATTAAGAATGTTTTAAATTAAAAATTTAAGAAAATTATTTCTGAGACTGGAGTGATTTTTTTCGCTTTTTGTGTTATTTATAAAATTCTATGCGTTGGTAATTTTAGGTTCTTATCTATACTCAAAGGTTCATACTACTCCAAAACTACAGCTCGATTTATAGTAACTGAATCAATTACTATGATAAAGTAAGATTGCTATGATTTCCCGTGGTAATGAAATAATGATAAGTAAAATAAATATATTGTTTTGACACTTTCGCAAGGAGCTCGTATTATAAAAAAAATAAATGTGATTTTTAACACTATCTTTCAAAACATTTTAGTAGGATTTTAGTCGCAGCGAAGTCGTCTATACTTATTTTATTTTTTAAATATAAATTTGGCATTTCATACTTATAAATGTTATACTATGAGCTTATTTTCTATAAATAAATTTCAATTATAAATTCGAAAATTTTGATTAGTGGGCCTTTTTTTTGTGATCAGAGTTATCATTTTATAGATTTTAAGCAGGCGTATGACAGTATTGCCAGGAATTAACTGCTCTTGGCACTGAGCGAGATACATATTTATCACCCCTCCTTCCACCCTCTAAGCAAAAGTATTACAATGAAATTGTTTACAATATCATAGCTCTTTGTTGCTAGGGGCAATTACAGGATAAATATACAAGAGTTGTTATCGTGCATGACACTAAAAATAGTGTGTTTTAGCCAGTTCCATTAGAATAATTCCCGTTATTATTTTAAAATTTCTTTATTCTAATCTGATCATAATTTAATTTTTTTAAGTCTTATACATTTTTATAATATTCGATTCTGTGTTCTATTGAACTTTGAGAAATTCTCGCTTCTGAAACCCACCTTGTTATACAAATAATCACAAAAATTAATATGATTAATTAACAAAAAGAAATATGACAGTCAAAAATTTATAATTACACTAGTCAGCCTTTTATTTAAAAAAAATAAATAAATTTAAATTTAAATTATTAAAGATTATTAGATACATTGTAAACTGATGTTTAAGAATGTTTTTACTCAATTTTTTTAAGTTTAAAAATTTTTTCTCAAATCGGCTCATACTATGAACTTTTCAGTTTCTAATTAGTAGCCTAAATCTTTTCTATTTTACTCAGATAGTTGTCAGTTTGATAATTTTACAAATCATTATTATTTAAAATAAATTAAAGCTTACACTACAAACTCAAGATTCAGAACAGTGTATTTTAAACCATAAATTATACTGTTTTTTTTTTAATGAAATTAAAACAATTTTTAAGTAATTCTATTCACTTAATTTACTATTTATTAATTTCCTTATTTATTATTGAGTCCATTAATGAAGTTTTACTTAATGATTATGCGTATATTCAGATATCAGTATCGATTAAGTCAAAAATTTTGGCTTTTAAAAAATATTATTCTATTTTTTACAGAATTTCTTTCACAAATCTTTAAAATGAGTTATACTTCAATAAATAAAAATATTATATTACAATAATTACGATTTACGTTTGAATCACAGTAGAATTATTTTTATTTTTATAAAGTTTATTATATCTCATGGGAGACTACTTGAGTTTTCGAACCAGGAGGGTAATATGTACTTATAAAAGATTTTGGATGATAACGAATTATTAATCTACATATGAAATCCTGATTTTCTATGACCATCTTTATGATATATATATATATATATATATATATATATATATATATATATATATATATATATATATATATATATATATATATATACCAACAAAGATATCCACTTCTAATTTACAAAATACTTCATTATATTTGGATTTTTAAGATTATTGCCTTTTCTACTTTGCTACTAAAATCTCACGTTTCATCATTGGATACCTGGATATAGGAATTAAATCAGACGATAGATACATTTATATAGTGTAATTAACTTTTATTTGTTTTTTGTAGTTCTGTATAATGTGTGGAATGAGAAATATGTGGTTTAGTATTAAAAAAAAAATACTGGTCATATAATGGGAAGGGGTCATTAAAAGAGTGATTATCGTGCATGATACTAAAAGTATTCTATTTTAGCTAGTTCCATTGAAATGATTAGAGTTGTTATTTTATGTCTGTTTAAAAAATATATCTGGTCCTCATTATATTTTTTAAGTGTTATAAATTAACTAAGAAAAACATAGAAATTATTGACAAGAAATATGACAGTCAAACATTTATGGATACGCTAGTTAACAGTTTTTATTATGATGACTTTAAACTAAAATTATATAAGAATATCAATTTCATTGTATACTGGTTTTAAAGAATTTTTCGACTTGTGTAACGTTGTTTCTAACCGACTCATGCTATGATTATCGTCTTGTTTTATCATATTAAATTAATTTTTGTTTTTTTGTGAAATAGGAAATAATTGTATGTGGTTTATTCTTTTTAAAAGAATGGTTTATAATGGCAGGTGTACTGGATTTTATCTGAACAAAGGTCAACTGTATCTATCACATTATAACTATGACATAAGCGTAAGATTTACTGTCATTCTGTCTAAGGACACGCACTAAGGTTCGAATCCCGCATATCGAACATATATTTATTGTGGAAGGATTAGTGAGGTGCCGGCTAAGGAATACTCTGTGTCGGGACGTGGGATCGATTACCTTAGTTCCCCTGACAGCTGATCGGCCGGAGGTACGTGGAGGTACTTGAGTACTCCTGGCGGGTACTCGGGTGTACTCCTGTTGGGTACTTTGGTACTCCTGTTGTAGCTGTGGTGCCGAAGTGAGATGTGCTGCAGAGAAGGGGCCACTGGAGCCTGGCATATATTAATAGTCAACTGTAGGCCGGGCTATGGCTCTCTGCTCCCGAGCCTGCGCCCTCGCCATTCTCATATCGACATTTTATTTGACGCACTGGGGCCGAGTCGTCGCCAGCTGGGTGTACCTCGCCCAGGGTACAAGGAGGTTCTGTACAAGAAGGTACTCCGAGGGTACCGAGTTGTGCGGAAGGACAATTATAGACAAATTAAAAAAAAAAAATTCTAGGTCTCCCACTTGCAATCGTGAGCACTGGAAGGGTGTCCTATCGTTCACAGTAAATTTTCATTATTTTTGAAAATGGATCTGAGGAATTAGTATACACTTATAAAATTAGTATAAAAATACTTTGTGGTTTTATAAATAAATATTTTTTTATTGTTAATAGATATTCTTATCTACTAACACTTTTAGTAGATCTTTTTTTTTTTTATTTATTAATTTAGACATGTAATATTCTGTCTTGAGGACAATAATTTTAGTGATAAATGAACACATTCACACCATATATACAAAAATTATAAAATTAACAAAAGTAAAATAATAACTAAATAATAATTTTAAAAACTTCGTACAATAAAAGATAAAATAACCTAAAGATAAGTAAATTAAAAACATAAAAACACAGTCATACCTATATGCAATACATACATTCAGGCAGGGATCCCAAAGCAAGGCTTCTCCCTCTAACTATAGAAGGAAAAGCAGCTTTAACAGATCCCTGCGCTACTCTCTCAACCGAGTCACTGGTGATGAAGCCAGCATGAGTAGATCTAGAAGAATTTTTTTTTTCACATTTTATTTTTCATTTTTAGTTTATAATACTTCTGCCTCCACTGGTCCTTAACACCAATAATGCGGCTGAGTGAGAGGCGCTGGGATCTCTAGAGTCCTGCCTTTCCTTCCAATAGTGGGATGAAAGAAAGGCTTTGCTCAGAGTTTTACTGAGTGAATGAATTTAGTAAATATTGTATAAAAGTATGTGTGTATTTAAGTTGTTATTTTGAATAGTTTAGTTTCTTTTTGCGTATACACATTTATTTTTAGTATTAGTAGTGTATATAAGTATGCATGTGGTTTTTGCTTAGTTTCAATTTTCTTATTTTTTAGATTATTTTATTTAATTATTTATTGTATATACTTTTGATTATTATTTTGCTTCTATTTATTTTATATTTTTTGTACATCACTATAACTAATGTCCAAGAGACAGATTGTTGTCATACTCAATAAATAAAAAATAAAAAAGTATTAGTATTTTGCTGTTTAATTCATTTTTATTGAGTGTGAATGAGCTACTATATCACTATTACTACTGGCCTTGAATGTGACGGAATGTAATACGTTGCAATAAAGAACTGATGATTAATAATACTTTATAATAGGTGCAATGTACTTCTTTTTTTTCTAAAAGTCTGATGACCTCTGTCAACAATGCGTGGTTTGCAGGCTAATAAGTTAGATTCGTACCTTTTTGTAATATATTTATACCGAATTTTAGTTTTATAGAATAATCGGAACACTTGTTTATTTATTTTGTGATTAATTTGATTGAAATAAATGGGTGATTAAGCAGTAAGATAAATAGAAGTGTTTGAAACTCTTTGAAGTATCATAATAAGAAATCTTATGATGTATGTGACTACTAAAGTATTGAAGATCTCATTGAGAAATTCTTAAAAAAAAAAACACTATGGGGAGGGTACTGTGTTTCTATTCTTTCCGTCTCGGGTTCGAGTTCGGTTGTGGCAGGTAATTATTTATTCTGTTATACCAGCCGTGGATAGACCGTTGAGTATACTATAGTGGAGGATCCTCCTTAGGTAGATCATTACAGGATGCTCTTAAGTAATTAATAATTTGGTACAGAGAAACAATTTGCGTTTAAGGTTAATCTCGGTCGAATCCCGTCCTAGCACAACTGTTGACCTATAAGCGGTAAGCATTACTTCTTTACAGAGTTCTGAACCCAACCGTTAAAGTTTAAATATAAATCTATATATATATATCTAATCCAGGACACACATTATCCCATAAGTAACAGAAAATATTTAAAGAGGCAGTAATATACTTCAAGAGCTATGAACAAATTCATGTAAGTATACCATAGTCCAATAATAGTAAAAGAACAGAAAAACAAGAAATTTAAGTTTTGTTTCTTTTAAGGGTATTCACGTTTTGATTGGAAAGGCGGTGATAGCTGAAAAAATATTCCATTTAGGTACTTACCAATGGTCTCATGGTATAATAGACTATATACTTCAAATATAAGTTGAATTTGTCTTTGTTGAAACCATTTCTATATTTCAAAAAATCGTGAATTATTCATGGTTTTTTGTATCCTCTGATTGGATTGCAGAATACCTAATTTTATAAAATCTTCCTTGATTAATAAATCATAAGTTCGCCGTAATTAAGTTGAGGTATGTCTCAAAATAAGCTGAGATTCCTCCCAACTTCTGTAAAAACGTTATGTGGATGTTGGAATTCTGTTTCCTCGAAATACCAGTTTTTAAGCAAAAATTAATACGAACCTTTTATTATTATTTATTTTTCACGTAAAATGCTTTGCATTAAATTAACTCCTATAATACAGTATTTATTTATAAACTAAGAAAACATGATAAAATAACTACGATTCTGCGTTGGGGTTTTAATGGGGATTTTAACTATAGTATTAATCCCCCACTTTCTTCGCTGGTCCCCGAAAAAACCCGGATAGCATAAAAGGTGAGGTAGGTGAGAACAAACTTTAAGTTTCAATATGGTTATTGATTGTTTTTTGGAGAAAATAAATTATGTTTTCTGAAAACCTATCTTAGAAAATATAATATTTCTGCTCCCATTGGGGTCAAATTTGGACAAATTTACTCTATTTTAAAACGATTACTGAGCGGGATATAGAGAAAACAGAACTATTAAGAGAAACATTGCTTAAGGAATAAAAAAAAAAAACTAACCATAAACAAAAACTAAATAATATATAAAACTGAATAGTGAATAATTTGGAAATGCTAATTTCTAAATGTACCTGAAAATTATTTTTGATTTAAATAGCTGGGTTTTTTTTAGGAAGTTTAAAGGTTCGTGCACAAACGCTGTATGTGCCGGCGAGACTATATTGCTCTCAGAGGCGATCTGGAGATTTATCATTGTCACATACAGCGCGATCTTCTTCATAGATAAAGACAAAGAGATTGCTAAACGCCGGTACATATCGCATTCTCAATAGCAAGGGAAGGGGCTTTCGGGCTGAAGTTTTTACCCCCCTCCCCCCAAAATGGTAAAATATAACCATGTTTTATGAAAAAAAATGATCTCTAAAAGTATTATTGTTCGTCTAATTACAGTTAATAGGACTTAAAGAATCACGTAAAGATCATTTCATATAGGTAATTAGTTTCTTTCTTTCTTTTGGAGTAATTATCCTAATATATTTACACAAAAAAAAAACATAAATGTCAGTCTAGAGAACTGTTGGCGATTTTGCCAACACAGCTGTCCGTTAATGTATTTTAAGCATATTGGTTTCGAATTAAAATAAAAGGCTGTGACGATATATTGCCGAAGGTCAGGTTGCGGTGAAAACCTGTATACTTGTACGATTAGGAGAAAGGACTAGAAACAATAATTTTTCAGGTGTAAATTTTCTTTGAATAATTTGAAGCTCACCATGTTCAAAACAGACTATATTTGTTTAAAATGTTCATCAAAGATGCAGTTAGTCAAGTCAGTTATTTTTTATTGAAATATCCGTAAAATTGCTGGTAAAATCTCAGCAATAGTTAAAACTTATTCTTAATATTAAGTTTCATTAAACTTCGATTAACCTAGTGGGGATCCGTACTGTTGTAGCGTACTGTTGTAGCGTTATATCATATCCTCAACTACTTACGATGTTTCTTATAGTTTTTTTTTTTATTTTGAACACAATTCAGAAAAACCTACTGTTGTTGCCTTTAACACGAGTTATAGAATTCTTTCAAGACAGGAAAAGTTCTGGAGCTCTCAGTAGAGGGCTGCCGAGATTGGTAAAGAACTTTTTGAAGAGGCGCTTTTCCGATTGTTACAAATTTAGTTTGCAGCGCTCTCTCCCGCTCATCTTTTCAAGTTTTACAGTTCCTGAAATCTGGGTAACTTCTTTGGACCTTTTTTGTCCGCCAAGATTTAATTAGCGGAAATTTCCAGTCCGGAAACTCGCCCGACCAGGATCTTCTTTTGCGGTAATGAATCATTGTATCCTCTATCAATGATACTGGTTCTTCCTTCCAGATCCGAATTGTTGTCTCATCCAAAACTTCAATCTTCATCTACAGTAGGAAAGATTAGGTAGTACTCCTACATTATTCATTCAGTAGAATGATAAAAGGATTAATGAAACCGAAAGTTCTTTGCCGATCCCACCGAGAGTCGCTTTGTATTTCTCTCGTCATTGATCTCCATCTACACTTCCCACAATTCACAATTCCATCTCCGTCACGGTATAACCCTCAGACGTTTGTACATTTTATGTTCAACAATAGGCTAAAAATTGTAATCTTATTAATAAAATCATTTACTTTCTTTTATATTAATAATGTATAAACTATTAAATATGTCTACCTTCCTTTCCTTTCTAATACAGATAACTTTATTTGTCCATGATTTCGGAAAATTTAACTAAACAGAAGAAGATTAATGTCCTTTGGAATCAATTTCTGTTGTCAAGTTAGTTGGTCCATGGGAATAATTTGTAGTGTGAATTGGTAATATAATTTTCAAATTAGCAAATTCAACAAACTTTGAATAGAAAGACGCGATTTTATCTTTTTTCTCGGTCGATTGCAGTGTTCCATCATTAAAAATATTAAACTATCCATGTTCAAAATGTAAAAGGCAGTATCTTTGGTCCAATAATGGTCCATTTTTGATAAACTAATTTTTTTTTCGTTTAATAAGAAATTTTGAAAGATTTTAAATTATCATGTGTTTATTTTTATGCACTGAAGACTGTATTCTTCAAA